TCAAGTGATGAAAAGTGGAGTGAGAATAATTTATATTTTATTTTTTTTTAGCTGTTCGATTTGGTCATGAAAATGCTTGGTAAAATGTTGTAATTATTCAAGGGTTTTAAATGACAACAAAAAGAATAAATTTTTATATAATCCAATGTATTTAGCACTAAGGATTGTAAATATCTTAGCGTAAGACAGATTCGGACATTGAAATTCAAAATAAATCACGGTTTATTTTTAAGTTTGTTAAAAACACGTTGAGAGTAGTCTTGTATCCAAATGGAGCAAAAAGGATGTTATTCCTATACATTCTCATCATTAATTCATTATATCGTATTAACACCCGTATATAATGTTTAGATAAAGTTTCCAGTTTACAAGTTTTATTATTATTTTGTAATTTAAAGTAATTCTGTCAAATCACTGATGTTATAGGGGTTAAATGCTACTTACAACTTAAAGATATTCCCGCCAGATTGACAGCCCACATACATAGAACAATTAGAAAGACGACGGCTATATACTATCTGGTATGTCAATACCTTCTAAATCTCCCGCATTAGGAAGCAGTTTGATAATCTCTGGAGGATAGCTAGCCTGGAAATGTCAAAAAATTATTAAACTCCTACCGTATGAGATTACGTTTCGAGATCAAAAGGAAGAAGCCGGATAGAACTATTATTTCCGGATTCCTAAATCGGAAAATACTTTTTCCGATTCTTCCTGTTATAAACTCCTAAGCCTATATAATATTCATACCTACTTACTCTCGCAGTAAAAAGAAGATCAAATTATATGTCTAAGGTCAATATAGAATCTCAACAGAAAATAACAACTCGATTAGATGAATCACGTGTTACAGCAAGTAAATATATCAACTTGATGTAGCGATTTTGTGTGTGTGTGGAGTTTCGAGGAAAGCTTTCTGAGGCCTATATGAACTACCCGTCCCTAATTTTGAAATGATAGTATAGTAATCAAAAACACCTACCGCTATCTCTTGGGCTACTCTTTACCAACGAAGGTTGTGAATCGAGCGCCCCTAACCACAAACCCATGACAGGACATCATGTTATAGTAAAATATGTATCGTAAAATCAAAATTTGGCTCTAATTACAAATAGCCTAGTCACTCTAGATATGCCCCCGGTATGTCTTCGAAAAGTTTACTGATTTATAACGCTGAAACCCTGGGTTCGCTTCCCCGCGGTAGACAGAGCGCAACAACTATTCTCTTTATTCAGCGCCCCCCAGTGAGACAGCATTATGTCTGCCGACTTACAACGCTAGAAACCGGATTTCGATACCCGTACTGGGCAGATCACAGATAGCCCATTGTGTAGCTTTGTACTTAATTATTAAGAAAAGAAAGAAACCTTATTCAGCGTCACCTACTAGCGAAACAAGTCCCAGTGAAAGTTTGCTTAATTAAGAATTTCATTACAACCATTGGTGTAAATTGGTGATTTCCCGTTGTCTGTGTTCAATATTCCAGTAAAAGATCTATCTATATTATTTATCCCTGTTTTAAAATATTTTAGAATAATCTTATTTGTCACTCATTTTATAATCATCTTTTTCAATAAATATCTTAGTGCTAACTAACTAGATTTTATAGATTGGATTTTGATTTGTATAAAGTCACATGTACTAGCTACTATGAGCGTGTTCTTGGAAGGAAACTTGTTTAAAACCGAAGGAAGAATCTAAAATAAAAGGTAAGATCACTAGTTGGATAAATAATTCAAATTTTAAGCAATAGGCTACAGAAACTGATGCTTTACATGTTGAAATATTTTAATAGAAAATCGTTTTTAGGTTAAATACATATGCTTGATTTTTAGTTCAAATATATTGATTCATTGAAACGGTTTGTTACTAGATTAAGTTTTTTCGAAGTATACTGTACGTGATATTAGGTTTAAATTATTTAAATAAGAATTTACATTCAAATAATGTAAAATCAGTGTATTTTTGTAAACATTAAGTTTCAAAGGTAAAATTAAACTCCTGGAAAACTTCAGCTTTTCTCGGACGATTGTAGATAACTTTAACTAATTAATTTCATTTCCTAAGTTAAGCTTCCTCATTTGGAAAAAGAGCAAGAAAAGAATACTCGTTAACTGAAGTTTTTCATAAGTTCAAGGATTTCTTGGATTACTTCGTAAAATATGTCAATATACAATTACTCTCATTCAAATTATTAGTCATTTACTTCCATAAACGTTTCTGTCAGACTTTTCATAAAGTAACTTGATAGGGATGACTCTCTATATCATCCCCTAGTGACAGAGAAAGATAACTCCTGTAACTCTTTATTCCCAGACAATGCCATGATTTTAAAGCTCATTGACTTTAGGAATGTACTTTTATCTCTACTTTCTGTCTTAATAGACTATCTCTGAGGGTAAGAAAGGTTTATTGAGAGTTTTTGAAATAAGCGTAGCTTGGATTGTTAGTCAGCTATTCAATCAAAGAATGGGAGGAGGTAACTAGAACTTAGGAAGAATAAAACGAGTTTGAATATAAATTGTCACTGGAATGTTTTTGTTTGAAATATTTATAGCCTGACTACTCCATTTACAAGATCTGTCTAGATGAAAAAGCTGGAAAAACGTAGCAAAGTAAGTTTCACTTTGATGAATTAATATATGCTAAGTTTGAGACATTAAGTTTAATGCTCGAAGATACGAAATATTTAATAATTAAGGTAAATGACACAAATAGCATTCAACTTTTCCTTCAGAGAATATGAATTAATTTTTATCAGGTTTAAATGAATCCAGGTTTTTAACATATACTAGTTTTGTCTTTTCACAGTTTAATAAATGTGATAATTCGAGAATCATGAAGTTTTCCCCCTCAAGGATAGACTGAAACGCTTTGTATAATGTATTTAAGCAGTGAGGGTTAATCATTGAATAAACTTTGATATCAGTAGAAGCTTTTTATATAAATAAATACGAGATGTCCCCCATGGATCAGCGTTAATTTACAAACTTACGAAGTTAAAATCCGTGGTTCGATTTCCTCTGGTGTACAGAGTGAAAATAACCATTGGTGTAGCTTTGCGCTAAGAACAACATACACAAGATGGCTATGTATTTTTAACTGGATATTTCTATAAGTTTTGTTTATTTATCTACTGGTTTCACTGGCCCTGTGATGTCGTTGAATATTGTACTTGTATTTCGTTTATCTCTCTCTCTTTCTTCTTCTTAAAACTCAGGTAATTATAATAACCACATATCAGAAATCTATACCTATTCTTGACATTTCTCAGAAATGTTAAGACTTTTTCAAACTTAACAGATAATATGGATAACATAATTGTTTTTAATAACACAACTTATGTTGTTGTTGTTTTTTTTATTCCTTTAATAGCTTTCGTTGTACTTTTTTAGCCTAAAACGATAATCGAGGACGAAATTTTGGAAGATTTTGCTTTGTTTCGAATATTCACGCAAAACTACACAAGGGTTACTTGCACTAGCCATCCATATTTTTGAACTAATATATTAGAGAGAAGGCTAGTTAATCAACAGCACACCACGCGGCAACTGTTCAGCTACTCTAATCGAACAGTGGAGTTTTACTTTCTCTGTTAAAAAGCACTTATGGCCCCAATTTTGCAGCACCGGGAAGAGAACTGTGGACCTTCATATTTACAGTTCGGCATGCTAACCACGCCCCACCCATTTTTGACAGAGGCTTTCTGTGAAATAAGCTTTTCATCCTGACTAAAAATATGCTGTTATTACAACAGAAGTCAGTTTAAAACACAACTTGATAGCATTTCCTTTTGAAACTACCGCAGCGGTTCTAATATAATGCTGATAACTTGTGAGTGAAAACAAATAATGATATGTCAATAACACTGTGTCAATGACGGTTCAGTTTTAGAGAAATGGTAACTTTAAGATAATTTTTGTACAGCTTTTTAAGTATAATTCCCATCATTTCGAAAGCCTCTATTATTATCATTATTAAGTTTCAATGATCTATGTTTAAAAACCTTTCACTAAACAAGCTATAACCCATTACTTGCTTTTAAACAGACGGTTATATTTTATGATACTTACTTTTAAACAGAGGGTTATATTCTTTAACATGTACAATCTTCTTTCTTTTATTTTTTGCTGGAATTTAATTCAGTTAGAAATATTCATTTTGATTAAAAATGACGCTTATGCGTAAAACAGTTTTTAGGGCTCCTTTTATCAGTTTAATCAATCGGCATTCTTCTGTAGTATAACAACTTCAGTTTATTCAGAGTTACTTGTGGTGTGTTACCGCATATTGTAACATGTCAGTCAACATTCTTAACCAAACCTCAAAAAGGAGAGGAGGGGGAGAGCCTAGACGGATTCGAGGGAAATTCAGCAAAAAAATGTTGATTGGTTAAAAGCAGATAAATGTATAAAAATATCACTAAATGTTTGATGAGTACAGATACTACCTCTTGTGTCGATAAAGGACAAACAAAAATCAATACACGTTTATCACGATTAAGTAAAAGTAACAATTTAAATTACAGATTAAGACATTGCTCACATTTACATACGTCTACAGAGACAACAATGATGTTTTTGAATATGGCCTTATCCTATTGACTGAAATGTCTCAGTTTTAATTGCTTAATTCACGGTTGAAATCTAAAATGAGAATTTTGTTGCTGGTAAAAATGCTTACTGTTAAATATAGGTTGTAAAGATTTAATATAAATAAATACATATAAATAAAGTATACGACTATCATTATATTAAACAACTGCTGAATGCCTTAAACATAACTCACCAGATATGAATTAAGTCTGATTAGTCTGTAAAGTATGGGATTAGAATTATATTAAACAAATGCTGAATGCCAGACTAATCAGACTTAATTCATATCTGGTTAATTTTATTTAAGTTAAAACAATATAACAGCAGCTAGCTTGTAATTGTTAAAATATTGTTTGATGCTCTTTTGAACTTTGAATATCTGAAGATATAATGATATGAACTGACCTGAGGATTCTTCTCTTGAACATCAAGAAACGAGGGATAATTGGCGGATTTCCAGAACTCAGGGTAAGCTTCTGCATCTTTAGTTACATACCTACACGTTAAGATTAAAGTGAAGATTATAAAAGTCGTCTCTTTGGCCAGCATTTCTTTATTTCTGTTAAATATTTTTGGATTTAATTGTTCAAGAAAAACTTTTATCTACTGCTCTTTTAGAAATAAAACAAGTATGTTATTAGAATAACAATGGTTTTAAGCATTAATTATGATTTCTAAAGTGATTTAAGGTTTTCTAGTATCAAACCACTTTCACAGTGATGAGTACAACAGGCCTACTTCGATGGTTGAACAGGACACGAAGATCGCGTGTTATATAAAGCCTCACAAATGAACAGAAAGAGCACGCCTGCGCATGAGCTCGTTAATAGTGGAGCGGCTTACCTATTTTACAATTTATTAGCAATAACAAGTCACAAAAAAAGCAAAGCAAATTATGTGTGTGTGTGTGAAATAACGTGGGTGTGTTTTCCAGTAAAAAGAAGCAGCAGAGCACCCCAGCCAATAAGAGGTCGCGAACTATTTGATTGGTTGGCATGGGAGGAGCTCAAACTTTATAAAAGCAAAATCTACCGATCTGTTGTGTTATACTTCTCACGAAATTCATTATAAGCATAACACTAACGATTAAGTGTAGTATGACTGTGATATGTTTATACTGTAAACAATACCTTCTTAAGTTTATATTTGATTAAAGGATATTTTCAAAATTCACTGTACTTCTTGTCTTTTGTCTCGTGATCCACTTTTGATGTGTTACAAGCTTTACTATAGAGCTTGCCACCTCCATAGCTGATGCCAACACAGGCATTTTCTGTCTTCCCATACGTCTTATCGATGTCGATAACTATGCACTTATGCTAGCTCTGGGAGTTACCCACTCGATAATCACGAGAAAATATGGAAATGTCGCAAACTTTGTTTGTAACCTATTTGTGACTGATTAAAAAATGGAGAGAACATAGTTTTTCTGGCCAAAATCACTTGTTTCAAGGAGTTAAGATTCAGCCTTTAACTCAGTATAGAATTGACTTCAAATTTGCTATGGTCTTGACTTGTCTTGCTGTAGCTCAGGACAGAATCAGCTGGCCATCTTCAGTCCAAGTACTACATGATGAATAACAGATAAACAAAATGCCTCATTATACACACAATTCTGTTCTAAAACAACTCAACAATTTAATCGCTTCAGTCAGTACACATGACTCTACATATATGATAAAGTAGATTGTGTTAAATTATAGATTATTAACAAAGCTATCTACAACTTTTATAAAGTAGGTTTTTATTAGCATTCCTTCCTCTAAAACGTAAATATTACTTTAAAATATGTAGTCAAAACTCTTGCTGGAATCAGTATTAATAAATATGTAGAAGGAGTGTTGTTCTTTGTTATTAAGCACAAAGCTACACAAAGGGCTATTTGTGCACTGCCCACCACGGGTATCGAAACCCGGTTTCTAGCAGTATAAGTCTGCAGATATATCGCTGTGCCACTGGGGGGGGGGGGGTATAAAAGGAAGAATTAAGTTTCCATCTTTAGAAAATTGAAACCGTAAGCCATTGTAAACAACTACTCTGATTCTTTTAAATAAATTACTAAGAAACTTTATTCTTTTATAACATTACGAAAGAAATTCCTGTTGTTTTTTGTTGGGGGGGGGGAGTGATGTAAAAATCTTTAAACACAGTTGAAAATTCCGTGTAATATACCTAATGTTTATTGTAAAAGAATTAGCCAAGAATTCTGTTAATGTTAACCGATATGAGTTTCTTTTTCTTTATCTAGATTAAATAGAATAATGATATTGATTGTCACTCTTATAACGCGATCACAAATTGTGAAGCGTTATTCAGCGGTATTACGGCACGAATGTTAGACTCGCAACCGACTGCGCTAAACACCTTGCCACTTTTGGAGAGTTTTTAAGTGTAAAAACATTCAGAAACAGAGTAAAGCCAGTTATCTAGCTTAAACTAAAAGTTTTATGCTGAATAAAATAAAATAAAAAATTCATGTCATGTTTATAGCACACTTATTACAAAATAAATGTGTTACGTACCTGTGAACTTTGAATCTTTTATTTAAAAACCTGCTCATTGGAGCAGAAACATAGATGCAGGGATGTGTATTTTAATATATCTAATATACGGAATATGCTAAAAATACATTTATAATTAAGAACAACATTATAAGAAATATGATAAAATTCTCCTCACATGTTAGAAAAAAAATGGGTTGATGAGAAGTGGTTGTAACTAAATATATTTAAACCACAATAAAACTAGATGATTTTGTTGTTTTTTGTCGTTAGTTTGCCCTACTCTTTCGAATAAAAACATAACCCTACTGCTAAATAATTAGATGTGGTGTTCCTTAGGAACTGGCTTCCTTACCTCAGCAAAAAGAATAAACAAAGTTGTAGGTTCAGGGAAGATAATACACCACAATTAGAATGACAGTCACAAGACACACATTTTACTTAAAACCTCCCTAGATCAACGGTAACTACCAAAACGAACTCGTTCACACACACACCTCGGCGACTAATTCTAGATTAATCAAACAGTCGTGTCTTGATTAACGAATCGGAGCATACTTGCATATCACGTTTTCTTACTGAAACTGTTTCACACGATGTTCCACAAATAACTGGCCTAATTTCACAAAGTGAGAAATGCGAGCGACTATCCAACAATCGTGCTTTGTGGTCTCCTACCAACGAAAAATGTGTTAATCAAGAGCACGGTAGAACAAAATTTCTAAGAGAAAAATAATTTCATCTCTTTCGAAATTGACATGTTGCATTTATTTTACAATGCCAGACTCTTCAAGAACTTTACCTTTGTAGGCAAGTTTTATTTTGTCTCCGCAGAGAGACATGTCATTTTTCTATTATTTCTTCCTCTTTCTTTCTTCTTCCAAGCGCTTTTCAATCGACCACCTTTCCTTCATTTCTCGGTGGATTGACTTGAAACATGGTAGGGTTATACTTTAGCCCAATAAGCCCAGACGCTTTTTTGATTTTTATATTTATATATTTTTAAGGATTGTATGAGGTCAAAGGTCAAACAAACCCAAAAATGTATATTCTGGACTCCTGTACGGTCATATTTATAACAATCAAGATGAAAATTGGCACAAATATAAATTTTCACGCGCCCAACAGATTGATTTAAAACGTTGGATTTGTCAATTTTGAATCTTTTTTATGGGGTCAGAGCTCACAAAAAAGCATAATTTTGGGGATTTTGATCAATTACTCAGCCGTATTTAGACCAATTTCCATGGGATTGGGTACAAAGAAACTTTTTTTACAGGTCCCACACATTGACAAACAAAGTTGGTGGACTTGCCCGTTTTTCTAATTATATGGGGGTCAAGATGCCACAAAAAACATAATTTTAGGTGTTTTTTTTACAAGTACTCCGCCATATTTCTGCCAGTTTACATGGGATTTGGTACAAAGATACTTTTTTTTACAGGTCTCATGCATATACATACAAAAATGTGGGATGTGTCCCAAAAAGTAATATAAACCATTTTCGATTTCTCTAGGTTTTTCCACAATTTTTCTGGTGTCAAAATTCGCCATGTTGGGATTGCGTGACGGAGACATGTTGCATTCGCCCGCGAATGTTGGCCGCTTTAATATTTATATTAAAATCGTATAGCATTTTCTAGAAGTCCACAACAGAACAGCCACAGACATTTCTCTTTTAACATCAATTGTTACTAGTCCAGGAGTGACCAAATGGTTAGCGTGCGAGGCTGCAGGGCGGAAGGTCCTAAGTTTGCGTCGAGATACCGCTGAACGCACCTGTAGTTTCAGCTGTGTATGCCCTATAAAAAATAACAGTTATCCCCACTATTATGTTTTCAAAGCCAAATCCATAGTGGCGGTGAGTGCTGCTAATTGGCTGCCTTCCTTTTGGTCAATAGTCCAAAACTAGAGCCTCTAACCTAGCCTTTAGCCCATCGTTCATAAGAGGTCGTTCGGGTTGAAAATACCAATACCTATCAGTTCAGATACATTAATCAAACCCCAAAATTAATGAAATTATTTCGACTTAATAGGTAATAACACTTTTTCTCAGTTAATAATACAGGGTCTAGTTTCCCCCTCAAATGAAAGCGGTAAGTTTCATTTTGATAACAAGATCACACTTGATATTTGTAATAAGATCTTAGAAATTCAAAACGTAGAGGACATTAAAAATCATTCAAATATTAATAAACACTTATCTATAAATTCGAAACATTTATACCAAAAAGCTGGCATGTTATCAATTTAAAATATTTAGTTGTTCGTTAAATTTTTCCAATAGTTATTTTGAGTTGCATGTAGTCTTCTTTCTCATATTTAAACAATAATAAATTAGATTGTTCTTATTCTCACTATTCAAAACAATGCCAAATTACCGAGATCTTAGAGTTTATAAAATATTTGCGAGTTCACGCGGTGTTCAGTGTTGTCATTTTTTAAGTCATCCATTCTCACTAATGGTTGGTATATATTTGAAAATATTTTAATGTAATGTAACAACAATAGTTAAATTTTGATGGTTGACATTTAACTTTATTAAAAAGTTATTAAATGCATATAAATGTTTTTGTTTTAACTTGAGAATTATTATAAAGAAATATTAAGTCAGTTTGATATTTAGTTGAGACTTTCACCAAACGTAATAAAGACTAATATTTTTTGTGTTTGTTTTAAATTGACACTACTGACACCACGTGGGCTTACTTTTCATTTTATTAGAGCATATTCCATTATAATTATGTCATCAATGAGAAAGCAAGTTTACAAAAACAAAATATTTTGAAGAAAATAATTTTATTCTATTTTTTTAAGTGGTTGTGCACAATTTGATTTGAAATCTATTTTTTGATGTTGTTTTTTTTTTGTTGTTGTTATTAAGCACAAAGGGTTACGTGTGCTCTGCCCTCCACAGCTATCGAAACCCAGTTTCTAGCAGTATAAGTCCGCAGACATACCACTGTGCTACTGGGGGCTTTTTTTTTTAATGAATTATTGTGTTATCGAGCGTCTTCTAGAAAATAACGATAAAAACTAAGAGCATGACATATTATTCTCATTAACAAGCTTGTTAAAGCCTATAATGAGAATTCCAATGACGGAAACTGCTTTTCACAATATAAATTAGCTCCGTGTTTCCTTTATTAACTTACTGCATATATATTAAGGCTGTGTGATCTTTGAAAGAAGTACGGCGGACGTAACACCGGAAAGTTTAAATTGTGAGATATTTCTCATATTAAATCAGGATGGGCGTG